CGAGTCAAGAAGATCCAGAAATCAACATGCTAAACTGGAAAGAAAACTAGAGCCTAATAGATGAAGAAGTGGTGCAAGGCTGGTTAACAGACAGAATCTATTTAGTCCTTAAGTCTTTGCCTAGGAGGCCTTCTACAAGACAACAGTCGGATGCATTTAACATATGCCCAAGATGAGTATTTTTATCGAGACACCATCTCTAGCCTTTAATCAACCAAGAGCCCCGAGGCAGGGGGTGTCTTATGTTGGAGTTAGCATCTCCTAGCCTTTGCCTAAAAAGGCGTATCCTACAAGGCAGCAGGACATAAAGCAGATTGTACTGGGTTACATGTTACTAATAGCAGGATAAACCTGACCTGACCATAGAAATATTTAGTAGCAGGATAAACCTGACCTGACCATAGAAACATAGAAACAAACTATTGGAAACATATTATACATTTACAAAGTTAGCATCTGTCAAGGTTCTTTTTATCATGCTCAACTTACTTCTGATTGTATTCTCTACCTTAAATCTTTTAGGGGTTGTCCATGAATTGCTTTACACTCTAGAAGGGGGAGATGGGTAAGTGGTTTTGTGACTACTCATACAGGACTTGTTACTAAATTGTTACCAAATTGTGATAAGGGGGAGTGAGGAGCCAAAAACAAAAATTGCATGACGTAATTTATGGACAACCCTTTATTTGTTCCTTTATAAAATACTGTTGTCTATTGCTGGTTCATCTAATGATGCTATTTCTAATTTAGACAAGGTCCAAAAAAGCATTGTAAATTTAGTTGAAATTGTTATATCTGCCAGGGTTAAGCCTCTCTCCCATTATATTATGGCTGTATCTCTTTTTTGCTTCTACAAATAATAATATGGTCATAGCTATCCTTTTTAGTTAGTTCCATCAACCAAAACTCATTCTCACTTGACTCGACATTCAGCAAATGTATCCTTTTACTAACCTTTTAAGCTCTAAAAACTTTTATTCATCTAGTTTTTTTCCCTGCACTTCAATGCTTAAGAACTTTTTCCAACCTTTATGTTTTCCTGACTCATACAACCTTCAAATTTTCAAGTCTTTTGTCAACTATTTTTCAATATATTAATTCCCAACTTAATTGTGGTTGCTTGCAGTCTTGTTGGGAGTGAATTAGAATGAACTAAACAATATGTAGAAAAGTATCAAATTAAATTATGGCGACATTTAACAAAAGTTAATGGTTAAGACAAGGAACATGAAAAAAACTTAATTGAATTTATTGGTAACGTAAAGGAGTTTTTAACTGAATTTATTGGTAATGTAAAGGAGTTAATCACTGAAGTTCCAACATATAGAGACATAATTCAATATGCAATTCTATTAAGAGAATATTACCCATTGGCAAAAAGCAAATTTTAAAATTTCTGTTATAATTTTTGCAAGAGTATTGTGGAAAAAATTATAAAAGCTTGAAACATTCTCTTTTTTAATATCTAAAAAAGGAAATAAAGATAAGTTTACATTAAAACAAGATAAATTGTTAGATATTTGATTTTATGCATGCCTAATTTTTGATTATATAGAGTTCAATCTCATTTGTAAGCAACAATAAAATGCAATTGCTCCAAGGAGTATAAAAATTTTTTCATAGATATAATTTTTTTTTTACTACAGCTGCCTGGATTGATGCTGGATTGATTTCTGAAGAAGAATGCAATTTATTGTTGACCACAAAAAAATGGTAAGAGCTCAACTAAAGTTATGATCGAGTCAAAAAAAAAAAGACTTAAAAACACATAGGAACATTGATTGTATTTTGATAGCAGAATAGACATTACAAAAGTAATGGTTGAAGTAAAAGGATCCTTGTTGATTTTTTCATGGGATCTATTAAATAAGAATATTATACTGTATGGATGAAACCGGGTGGTAAGTTATTGTTTCGCTTTAGCCCAAAAATTTTAATTGAATAAAAAAAAGATAATGAAAAATGCATTATACTGGGCTTGAACTAATGTTAGTACTGGATAGGGAAGTGATGTTATACAATTTATTGTATCAAAACCTAATAAAAGGTTGAACTGGCTTACATCTGCAATATATACTAATGAACTAGCCTTCAGACATCTTATAATTGAACTAGATAGAATAACACTTTCAAATAGTAAATTTGTCCACTAAATTAGTAAAATTGCTGAAAACAGTCGCAGAGCTGACACAAAGCATTAAAACCTTTAAGTAAATCACTTATTATTTTGCTAGACAAAATACATAAAAATCTTTAAAATTAACATTTTAAAGAAACCATTAAAAAATAATATTTTTAAGAAACCATGAATAAATTTTAATAAAAATTAGTCAGTAGAAATTTTTTTAAAATTTTATTAGCACTCATTTGTTTGTTAACAAAATCTTTCGGCTGATCACGGTTAAAGTAAAATATATATTAGCAGTTGTTTGTTTGTCTCATATTTTAATCAGTTGTTTTTATGACTTTATACAGTTGTTTTTATGACTTTTTTTTACCTAATATTAAAAATTCATATCATAATTAACTAATAAAAAACATCATAAATAACTAATTTGAAGTATTTATTAAAATAAGTATTTTCAAAAATTTTACAAAACAATTTTTTTCTTTAATTGTAATTTTTTTCCTTTAATCAACTCACATTTTAATTATTTTCCTGTGTTAAACAATACTGACTTGCCTAGTAAGACATCATTAAAATTTTTTTTTTTTTTTTACAGATTTAAAAAAAAAACTTTTTCTGAAAAAAGTTTAAACTAATTAACTCATTAACCTTAAATAATTCAAGAAATTCTGTTGATTATTTTCAAGAAAACTTGCTAATTATTTTCCATAAAAAACTAGTTGAAACCAAAATCAAATGGAAACATAAAATCAGTGTGTATTATTTTGTGTTACAAGTTTGAAATTCCTAAAATTAATTTCAAAATCAATTCAATCTTATTTCTATCATTTATCTAAATATAGCATTTCATCTTTTATAATTTTAAAGCAAAAATGTTGTCTCAGGCTCTTTAGTTTTTCAAAAAACAATGCATCGATTATTGTTTTGTTTTTAAAGTAGATTAACAGCAATATGAATACTTCAGATGATGGTTTATTGGACAAGATAGGTTGAAAAACTAATGATTCCAAGAGAAGAATACCTTTTCAAAATCAAAACCCGGAGCTGTTAGTATAATTAATTATTTATATAAATTAATTTTTAATAATTTATATAAATAAAAATTAATCTAATAAGTAAAGAGTAGAATTAGATTTTAAAATTTCATTTTACTATTAGTATTTTTTATAAATTCTATTTGCTATTTGCAGTGAAGTAAAATTAACAGAAATTGACAAAAATTTGTATCTTTTTTTAAAAAATCCCTTAAAATTTCCAAATTTTTGTTTGTTTGTTAATAGGAAAAATCAATTATACCCTTATCTATTAAGTATATATTGATAAGTGTATAATCTAGGGTATAATATACTTGATTAAGTCTGAAAGTCTGAACAATTTAATTTAATTAAATTTAATTGTCTGAGAAGTGCAGAAGTTAATTCTTAAAGTAATTTTAAAAATTCAATTTTTAAATTACTTTAAGAATTAACTTTTTAGTTAAACAAACAGATAAATAAATTTAAAAAGTATAATACAGTTTTTGAAAAAAATATTTAACTATTACTTCAATTTCTTCTTCAGTGTTTTTCTTTTATTAGTATAAAATATTTAAGATGCAGTCATTAGGAATTGTTGTATGGAATAGAAAGTATTAATATTTTTAAAAGTTTTTTTAGAAAATGATATCAGCATATATTTTTTTTCTCTTGGTTTTCTCTTTATTTTTTGAAGGTGTGAACATTGTTTTAATTTTTTCTTTTAATAAAAATAAATTTTTAGAATTATTGTAAAAGTTTTTGTGCACATGTTTTAAATATTTTACAATGACTCTGAAAATTTTTAATTAAAAGATACAATTTTTTTTTATTTTTGTATTTTTGTTTTGCATTTTATTTTAATATATAATTATGTATAATTAGGAGATTGTGCTTTTTAAACCTTTTTAGGAAAAATTTTAATCGAACTCTTGACAGTTTTTTTTAAACTTCAATTAAAAACAAGTTTATGTAAAAACTGTTGACTAAATCACATCTTTGATTTTAATCGTAACTAAAAATGAACATTTTGAAGAAAGACTACCAGTTTAAATATTTGAATTTTATTCTGCTTATAGCACAGAATGGGATAGCATAAATGAATTGAGATCTATATTGTTTTTGTTTGTATTCCCTTTATTGACAATTTTTGCGCTGTTTATAAAAAGTAAAACAGAACATCTGGCATATAATATAAAAGTTGTTTTAACAGTTCTTTGGAATTCGCTTCCTTCATCTTGCTTACCTGATTCATATAAATTGCAATCTTTTAAGTTGTCTGTCAATCGTTATCTTGCTCTACAATTTTCATCTTTTCTCTTCCAGTAACTTCCAATACTAATTAGTGGTTGCTTGCAGCCTTGTTGGAAGCGAAGGTGTTTAAAAAAAAAAAAAAAAAACTTCATAGAATTTTGGGGTACACCTATCCACTATATGAAGCTTGGTTTATTAGAGTTAAATTGGGTTTTAGCTCAATTGGGCTATAGTGTTGTTATTTTCCTTTTTTTGTTAAATATTTAATGGGTTGAAAAAAGTCTTTGTTATCAAAATCATCAGTTAAAACTTTGTATGGTATATGATCTTGACTTTTTTTTTAATTTCCTTTTTTCTTTATATGGAGATAATACTTTGTATATACTTAATTTTCGAGGTTAAAAAAGTTTTTCAACAAAAAGAAAAACTTTTTTCATTATTATTTTTCATTATTTCTTTTGTGTGGGTTTTCATTATTAATAGTTAAGGAAACAATGGTTAATATACATTTTAAAAGATACATCTGGTTTACTGGTCCTTTGAAGTAGCATGGTTAATCTAAAAATGGATGCAAATGATGTTTAAATTTTTTTTTTTTTCTCCAGAAATGCTGACATTGATCGTTTTGACAATTCTTATTTAACTCCTCTTCTTTTGGCATCAAGTAGACCTGGTAACCAAAAGACAATACAAACCCTTCTAAAGTGTGGCGCTCAGGTGGATTTAACTAATACTGAGGAGCAAACTGCTTTGCATATTGCAGTAATAAACAACAATGTGGATGGAGTTGAGGTAAATTAATTTTTAAATGTTTACTATAGATTATAAATGTGTTGGTTTTTTATAACAAATTTTTTAACAGCACATGACAACAAAAGATAATATATTATAAATAATAAAAGATAGCTGTTTAATTTTTTCATATTTAACTTCACAAACATTTAATTTTTTCAGCTCTTGCTATCTTTCTTAGAAGCAAAAAAAATTATTGACATGTCTGATAAAGATAACAACACATGCTTGCATATTGCATGCAAGAGTGGGTTTGAAAAAATTGCAATAATGTTAATGGATGCCAATGCAAATGTAAGATCTCGTAATAATTTTGAACAAACTCCTCTTCATTTGGCGGCATTTTTTGGACAAGAAGAGTGAGTACTTTTTGCTGGTTGTAAAACAACTTGAGGGCAAAATATTTTTTGTATTGCAATAAAATATATACAAGTACTGCAATATATTTTTAAATTTATTTGTTATAAAGTACTAAACTTTATATTTTATTTCTATATTACTGTATTATAGCTTAAAAAATGACAAATTTTAAAAATTAAAAAAAAATTTTTTTTTAGTGTGGTAGATAATATTTTGGAGATTAATCCATCAGTAATTAATGATCTGGATCGTGAAGGAAACTCTCCTCTTCACCTTGCTGCAATGAATGGGCATGTAAATGTTATAAGTTTTTTGTTAAAATCCGGTGCATCAATCAATGACAAGAATACTAAAGGATTTACACCGTTGGTTTGTGCAGTTAAAAAAGGGCAAACTGAAGCTGTCAAGAAATTGATTTTAGAAGGTTTCATTACTTTTTTCATATTAGAGGTTATACAATAAAATTTAAATTAAGGTTAAATAAAATTTTTACAATAAAATTTTTCTTTAAATACTTGATCCAAAAATTTATTTTATATTTTTATTATAAGTAATTAAAAAAAAAAATGTATACATGAAAATAAAAATAATTTTATACTGAGAAAGTTTCTTTACCCTTTTAAATAAGCATAAATATCTAGAAATAGTTAGTGTTATTAGTAAGGCTTTTTTTTTTTTTTTTAGCAAGTTTTTTTTTTTTTTTTTTTGAATAGTTAATTAGACTGTATAATTCTAAGCATCACATATTTGATGTTCAGAGCATATTTGATCAATTTTCACCTTATAAAATAATTTTTTGGCCCATTTAAGATTTTTTTTATCAATAATATTAGCCAAATTGATTATTTAGAGAAAGAAACTACAAAATTTGGATGAGATATAATTTATTTTCTGTCTTGTAACTGATGCTGAAAATATGCTGTTTTTTTATGCTGCATATATAAGATCTAATTGTTCCAAATTTTCAATTCATTTTTTATTCTTTTGCATTCTTCACAAACATTCATCTATTATTGATCAAATTTTAGTTTGCTTTTCAACATGGCGTTAATACTATTAACTATTCTTTTTCGATATTTTTCTGCTAAGAAGTTCCATTCTATATATTTTCGAAAATTTGACTTTCAGTTGTGTGATGAAATGCATAATAAACTTGCTTTTGAATTGACTGCAAGCATTATCGGAGTAGATGTTTAAATTGGTTACTGTTTCCAGAAAGATTTTAACAATCTCTTCCAAAATTGCAGCAATTAAAAATTTGTCATCTTTGCTTAATAAATATCTAATACAAAGCCCATAAGCTTAATAAATACAAATCTATTACAAAGCCCATTTGCTTAATAAATATATAATACAAAGCCCATAGTTTTACAAATTTCATGGTACCAAATAGCTACTGTAAAAATTGTCACTTGTGCTTGGCTTAAATGAGTTGACTGCAATTGGTTCTAAAATTGATATCATTATCAATAAGGGTAGTAATTTTCTATTTCCACTGTTCAAAACATGGGAAATATCAACTGCTGCCCTTATTGATGCTAAAATTGATATTGATCATAACTAAGTAAACGAGCTTAAAAAAAAATTGAAAATGAGTTGACCTTAAAACTCCAAAATGAAGTAAACAATAATAGTTTGAGTTGAATTCTTTTTGATGGTAGAGAAGATGTCACTAAATTTTTTTTTTTTTTTGATATTGAAGACAGAAAAATTCTAGGTTTAATAAAAGAAGAACATTATACCCTGTGCAGTGAACCTGGTGGGTATTATCTATTCTATTTTGTTTCTGAAGAATTAAAAAAAAAACTGAAAAGATAATTCCAATCATTTAATAGCAGAGCTTAAAGAAAAATGTTTTCATTTGACATTAGAATCCATAGGTTGTGATAGTACTAATATAAATACTGGATGGGCAGGACAAGTGATACAAATGAAAAAAAAAAAAAACTTCATTGGAAACTGTATGGATTGCATGTGACCTGCACACTGGGGGAACTAAGGTTAAAAAGTCTTATTAAGTTTCTTGATAGTCCTACTAAAGCCAGCAGCAATCATTAGTCAGGACCACTGAGTATGGTGTTAAATGATACAGCTAATCTTTAGATTAATCCAGAATTTTAAAAAGTGTATGAAGGCTCTCCACTTATCTACTTCAGTTTTTTTTTATTAAATTAAAACAACAATCAATTAACTCAATCAGAGCTCAAATTTAGATATCTGATTTTGAACTTATCGAAGGCTTTTTTAATAAATTACATCAAAAATATTCTTCCTAAGAAAACCTTTTCTCCTTCAACATTGATAACTTAAATAAGACTTTTTAACCTTAGTTCCCCAGTGTGAAGTTCAAATATTCTGCTTGTTATTTTGAACAAGCAGAAAAAACTTTACTTGGAGTTCTTTAGCTTCCTTTAATCTTTGGTTTTGATTCTTTAGGCCTTCTGTTCTGGGCCAACTATTATCTTTTGTTCCTTCTTAGGATATTGAACTAATTTTACTTTTTCTTTTTTTACAAGTTTCAAATATTTTCATTGTCATTGATTTCCTGGATTAATTTTTACCAAAATTTTTGCATTTACTTTTCACAAATATTTGTGAAAAGTAAATAAAGCTAAAAAATACATATAGTCTATAAATGAGGCTGTTAATGGGCATCCTGGTACCTGCCCATTGTTTATTGTTCAGGTAGCATTTTTAGCAAATATTTGTAACAAATATTTTATTTTCTTATTCACAAACCCACTTATGTACAATGTTAAGTACAATAAACCTCACATCAATGTTTTCCTTTACAACATTTTTTTTTTACAACATTTTATTTAACTTGCTTTTTTGTCGGTTTGTTAATTTTTTTTTTGGTGTTGCACAAAACAAATATAAGGTCAGAGGTAATAGTAAAAGAAATCATTGAAAAAAATAATTAAAACAAACAACGAAAAAAGTTTAGCGTAAATAAAAGAAATCATTAAGAAAAGTAATTAAAATAAACAATAAATGACAAACTTTTAGCAATTTAGTGTAGTGTACTTGTGATGGTGTAACTTGCAGTGGTGTACTTGTGATGGTGTAACTTGCAGTGGTGTACTTGTGATGCTGTAACTTGCAGTGGTGTACTTGTGATGGTGTAACTTGCAGTAGTGTACTTGTGATGGTGTAACTTGCAGTGGTGTACTTGTGATGGTGTAACTTGCAGTGGTGTACTTGTGATGGTGTAACTTGAAGTGGTGTACTTGTGATGGTGTAACTTGCAGTGGTGTACTTGTAATGGTGTAACTTGTAGTGGTGTACTTGTAATGGTGTAACTTGCAGTGGTTGCACTTGTCATAAAAAATTTACTCAAAAGTTTGAGAAAATTTTGTCATCTATTTGATGACATGTTCTAGAGATGTATTTATTACGAGTCTAATACTTTAATTTATAAATTTATCTCAAAAAATTTTCTTTTGCAAAACTGTATAACATAATTTTTAATAATCAGTGGTGTGAAAGTAATTCAGCCTACATTTTTTATATTTGTTTCAAAAAAAGTTTAATTATTTTTTAAGTCTTATTGAAGTCCTATACTTGGTCACATATTTTATTAAATAACTCAAATTTCTTAAATAATTTAACTTTTTTTTTTATCATAAAGCATAATATAATATAATGAATATACAAGATACAATATACAATGCAAATATAATTAAATTTTTTTAAAGGTTAAAATTAATTCAACTTTTTACTAACATTTAATAGGTATTTAGATTTAAAAACAAGAAAGTTTTTTTAAAACACAGTTTTCCTTGTTTTGCTTTGTGTAAATGCATTAATATTTTTGCGTTTTTTATATATATCTACCGTTAACACAGTTCATCACAGTCTTTAAAGAATTCAGCCTTTAAAGGAATCTTCATTAATGCTGGTGTTTAATATGACAGTTCAATAAAATTGTTGCTAAAATACATTTAGCATTGATTTATTAAACTGTCATATTAAACTTCAATAGTGCAAATATATAAGGAGAAGCCAACTCTGATTTAACACCACTCCTGCCTTGTAGCTCTTGGTTAAGTAAAAGCTAGAGATAGTTTCTTATCTTATTTATAATACTCTTGGCAGTCATTCAATGCATCTAGCTTCTGTCTTGTAGAAGGCCTCCTAGGCAAAGACATAAAAGGTAAACAGATTTTATCTGTTGACCAACTTTGCACCACCTCTTTTTCATCTAACAAGCTAGTATAGATGTATTTGTAATAAATTGTTTCCAGTTGAAAATAGAGACACAAAAAAAACCTGCATGGGTTTTTTTTGTGTTTCTATTTTTATGACTTGGCAACTCATTATATTAACTCCTAATGAGGATACAACTCTAAAACTCAGTTTTATCGTTCTGAGGCTGGCTGGTAGTCAGGTTTCCTGAACTCTGTGGTAGCTCTCAGAAAAGCTGATAATATAAACAGTTGTAAAGTATCAGAGTACTAACAACATCATATTACGCATGGGTGGTGTTCCTGTTCTTACTGTTGATGTGCATTGTCAAGGCTACATTAGGAGCCCTTTGTTATGACTTAGAGTTAATAGTAATTAATAGTAATGAGGCTATCTTTTGGATTATTAGATAGTGTACTGAGTACTATTTGTACTTTGAGTCAAGTTCTTTAACAAATCCAAAATTTACTAACGTACCGAAAACCATAAAATGCAAAAAATCATCATCACCAAGTTGTTTAAATCTTTCATTTACTAATATTTGCGGTCTTCAAAGTAACTTTTCTTCTGTTGAGTCTTATCTCTTGCAAAGTTCACCAGACCTACTTGCTATTTGTGAGACTAATTTAAGTTTGGCTGTCTCATCTTCTGATCTTAGTTTTGATGGTTATCTTTCTTTAGTTTGTAAAGGCTCCAACAGTCACATGCTTGGTCTAGCATTAACATTCCTAAGAATTCACCCATTTGTAAAGAGACTAGATTATAATCCATAGACTATTCTTTCATGTGCTTTTGTGCAGCACCACTCTACTCTATGACCTTTCTCTTTGTTATCTCTCCTTTATCTTAAGAATCTTAAAACTGCACTTTTTTTGATGTTATTTCTGATCAAATTGACCAAGCCCTTTCTTTTTATCCTTTAGCCAATATTGTTGTTGCTGGTGACTTTAATGCTTATCACACTGAATGGCTTGATTCTAGTGTCAGTAACTCTGCAAGCGTTTAAGCCCTTTAAGTCAACTTCTGCTCTTCTCAATCTCTAACACAAATAGTCAACTTTCCAACTCACTTTCCAGACAGTCCATCATTTATCCTTTCTATCCAACTTATGTCTTGTTTCTGATCCTAGTCAGTATTCAGTTTCTTCACATTCACCCTTAGATGCTTCTAATCATGGTTTGATATCTCTAAAGCTATAGTCTCATTCCTCTTCATCATTAAAATCTTCTATCATCGCACCTCTTACAGTTACCTTAAAGCTGACTCTTTCCGTGATTTTCTTTGTGATTAACTCTTACTTCTGATCTTTCTTGGAAACCATATATTAAATCCATTAAAAAATTAGCATCTGTTAAGGCTACATCTCTTTATTGTGCTTGTGACTTTCTTACTCAGGATTCTATTCTTTATCTCTATAAATCACTGATCTGTCCTTGTATGGAATACTGTTGCCATATCTGGAGGGGATTTTTGAATGATGCCCTTTCTCATTTAGACAAGGTTCAAAAACGCATTGTAAATATAGTTGGACTTGCTCTTGCAGCCAACCTCCAACTATTATCATATCGTGGTAATGTTGCTTCTCTTTCTATTTTCTATAAATACTTAAATGGGCGCTGCTCTAAAGAGCTAGTGTCTTTTGTACCATCCACTAAAATTCATTCTCGTATTACTTTTATTCAATTAAGTTTCATCCTTTTACTGTGACTGTTCCTAAGTATTCCAAAATTTCTTACTTATCTAGTATTTTTTCTCAAACATCACTTGTTTGGGATTTGCTTATAATTTGAAATCTTTTAATCTTTTTCCTGATTCATATAATTTTAGTTGTCTGTTAATCTTTATCATGCTCTATAAATTTCATCTTTTCTCTTTCAGTAACTTCCAAATCTAATAGTGGTTGCTTGCAGCCTTGCTGGAAGTAAATATGTTTAAAAAAAAATTGTACTTAGAAACTATTGCACTAATATAATCAAATATACATCTTTCTAATTTTAGAAAATTTAAAATGTGGCAATAATTTATATACGGAAGTGTTGCTTAGTTGTTTAAAATTTTAATTACTTATACACTAAGTTTCCATTACTTCAGACAACTTTTCAAAATTGTTTTCTGAATGAGTTATTTCAAGTTTCTAATAAAAGTTGTCATGCTAAAGTCTTTTACAATCAATATTAAATTTATGTAGTTCAGCTCATTTAACATATTTATCAGTTAACCAAGCTTTTCCTTTAAACTTCTTCACCTGCCTATTTATCTTCATCAGTAGTTTTTAGCTTTGTTTTAATCATCTACACATTTGTTTTTTATTTTTAACATCTTTTTCTGTCTAAATTCATTTATTTAATTTTCAGGTAAAAATAAAATTTTGTGTGTACAAGTTCAAATTTTTAGCATTATATTATGTAAAAAGTTATAGAACAAACAATTATAGAACCTTACTTAATAAAGATTTATAACTTTGTGGTTTCATTTTTTTTATTGGTAACCTTTGTTATAGGTTGACTAAAAGTTTTAAACTATATTCATGTATTTAAATATTTTACTTTTTATGTTTAAAATTAGGTGCAAACATCGCTACAGCAGAAAGTGGTCAAGGACCTTTACACCTTAGTTGTGCAAAAGGTCATTCTAAAACTGTAGAAGTATTACTTGATCATTGCAACATTAATGAAACCGATGCTTTTGGAAATAATCCTCTTGATATTTGTATTGATGGTTGCAAAATGTATGATATTTTTTTGCACTTATTATATGTATATTATTATATGTACTTGTTATATATATGTGTACATAAAACTAAAACAATGTCATCTAATTTTACTGTACAACAAATTTAAGATTTGAAAAAAATTAATGAAAGTCAATGTGTTTTTCATACTAATTCAACTGTGCTGATTTCAAATCTGAAGTCAGTTTATGTGCATTGCCCACCACTTTTTAAAAAATTGTGATTTCTTTTGTATGACATGTCAAGGACATTGTAATGTAATTCAGTGTATACACATTAGTTGATCAACCTGCTTGTTTTACTTATTATTTATTGATCTTTTTCTTTTAGATAGTATAACAAATCTTTAGTAATTTCATTCTGATATTTCATCATTTTTGTTTGTTTATTATAATTACTTCTCAAGACTGCATGAATAATCTTGATAGCTTTATATAGCTTAAATGTGTGGTGAATATACTGTAAAGAAATATTACCTGTTCTCTATAAATTAACTCAAAAAGCTTCAAAAAGTGTACTTTGATTGTGTGAAATATTCATCAGGGATGCATACTTGGTTTAAAAGGGAACACCAGCAATCTTCCCTTAGTTAAAAGACAAAATGTGATATTATCTTCACTACACTTCAAACTGGGTCTTATTAACTGCTGAACACCCTTGATAGGGAAAGTGCAGCCTTCAGACACCTGGTTCAGAAATTTCCTGCATTAAGTGAGGTCAAGATTAAAGAGGGAATTTTTGTGTAGGGTCTGACATAAGACGGCTTCTAGGTGATGTTCAGTTTGAGCAGACCATGGATTACCTTTAATTGACAGATGGAAAGCATTAGAGACATGGATCTCATTTAACAGCTGCTGTACCCAAATGGCAATATGGTAATGTAAGTGATGAGTGCAAAGAGTGATTCCGCCAAGACGTTGCTGTAATGAAAAAATGCTATAAAGAAAAATGATCATTTGCAATGCTAGCAGAAGAATTTTCCACACAACCCCCACTGACATTTAGTAAAAGCAGAAATCTTACACCAAACACTTCTAGTGCTATTAGTAATTGTTTGTAAAAGCAATTGTTTATTTATAGTTTATAGAATCCTGTGAGATATGCTAGTAGAGATACGCTATAGTAGAGATACGCTATAGTAGAAAAATATTTTAAAAAGTCAAGACTTTCCAAAAATAAAGTTCTCTTAAAAATTCAAAAATAATTTTTTTTTTAAATAGTGATGGAGATAAAGAGACTTCAAATTTGAAGTCAGCACATTCAAATTAGTATATTGGTATTCATGATATTTTATGTTAGTATATTGGTATTCATTTATATAATTTTAATCCAATTGAACTATTAATCAAACACAACAAAAAAGCAGCATACAGTTTTAATTTTTTTTTGTAAATATATATATACTTTTTAACCAGACTTAAATAAACCTCCATGATATTAAAGCTACTCCTGTGACTATTTCATTTTGGAGCGTTTACCAATGTTAGCACTTTAAATAATGTTAGCACTTTAAATATTTATATATGTGTTTTACCAATGTTAGCACTTTAAATATTTATATATGTGTATAAATAAAATAATAAATAATAAAAAGTTAAAGACCTTTTGATTTTAACCATTGAAGCCAAATTCCTTGTTAAAAACTTATTCTGTAAAACTTATTCTGTAACCTTGATGCATAATTTCATAATCTCTATATGCATTATTTCATTAGTTTTGTATAATTACAGCAAAGTATTTTATAGTTTAATTTTTTGATTATAATGCAAATCGACCTTAATGTTATATTTAGAAATTAAATATCTTAGAATTTGATGAATATAAATATTCAAACTTTTTTAAGTAAATTTTTTTCTTTAAGTTTTTCATCTACATCAGATTTGAAAAAAATCAAACAGCCAGAATTAAAAACGTTTGAAAAATTTTCTGATTTAATACGAAATTTACTTAAAGTTTTTGAAATTTACATAAATGAGTAATGGTTCGACTTATAGCTAAAAACAACAAAAAATTTTAAGAAGATAACGAAGAAAAAAATGTTTTTATATAGAGATAAGTATCAGATAGTGTATGAGTATGGTAGATGGTTTTTATATAGAGATAAGTATCATGTGGTATTAGCAGTTTTGATTTTGATTGCTGCTACAATTTTTGATTAAAAAAATAATTTACGCATGAAACTTTATTCTTTTTTTTTTGTTAATTTGTAACTTTTTAAAAACAAAAGTTTTTTTCCAAATAAATCTTCTTGCAAATTGATCTAACTTTTTTGGACACATTCATGAATTTCATGAATTCTCTTGAGCATATCGAAGTGACAATTCTACCTGATTTTAAAATCTAAAATTAATGAGTTTATATTGAATATTTTGACAATTTTTTTGATTTTTGAATCAAAAAATTTAAACTTTGTTGATTATTAGATTATTTGCATTTTTTTTTGCTCTGTAGGATTCTTTCTTTGAATGTTGAATGATGTGTTATACATAATTAATGTTGAATTTTTAAAAGTTATCCAGGTTGTTTCATTACTGCAGCTCTATTGGTAGTGCTAGTGACACAGTCCTTTGGATGAATGTTAAACAGGATCACTTTAGACTTCAAAATTTCCAAATACCTATCTGCAAACGTTTTTTGTGTACTCAAATAAGGCCATTTGCATGAACGTTAACATTCATATAACAGTTTTATTGTTAAAGTATGTTGTAATTCTCTTTACAATTGTTATGCTTTTTTTGAATTATTTTACAGGTATTCTGGATCCGGTACCTTTATTAGCTTCTTGTTTTAACTCAAGAGAGCTATATTTCCATGAGTGATACCTATTGAATTTGTGTAAAATTGAACATACTAAAATGTTTTTTAAACTCTAAATTTAAATGAATATTTGTTTTACAAGTATATATATATATATATATATATATATATATATATATATATATATATATATATATGCATATATTTGTATATTTATAAACTTATATTTATATGTATTTATAAATATGTTTATATATTTATGTATAGACAGTTATCCCACAATTGTGAATCACCCACAAAAATAGACCAGTCTTACTTTTCTTTGTAAATTTTGCTTATTAAATTAATTTCAAAATGTTTTAATTGTTAATCAAAGAATGAAAATGCACAATTAGAATGCGGTAAGAGTTATTGTTACCAATTAAAAAATAAAGAAAGCCGAAAAAATATAATGAGCTTTCAAAAAGTGACAACTCAAATGTCATTTTTATTGTTTTGCTAAGAAAGCAAAATTTTTAGTTATGTGTTTTTTTGCTCAAAGCACTTATTATAAATGGTAATAAATGGCAGAAATCAAAGCTAAAAAGTATGTTTGACTAGTTTTTCAATTATCTGGCCTGGAAAACCTAATATAATGACTTAATTTTACGATAAAACTTTGATCAATTTATGTGTTTTTTCTCATGAGAAGTATGTTATTTTTTGGTTCTAGCAAGCAAAAAAAGTCTTCAAGGAGAGTTACGCTTTGGACCAACTGTCTGAAGCAGTTGTAATTGCAAAGTGAACCGAAAAAATTTTAGAAACCACTGCAAAATTGGCAATTCTTTACACAACTTTGCAAAATAATGTTTTTGGTATTATCAAGATTAATAAACCTGGGCCTGAGATCATTTTGACCACCAAAGAAGAGCAGAAAAAAGACACAATTTACCTTGCAAAAGTTGGATTTCCTGTGACTGAGACAAGATTGGCTATAATTGTTTCTAATTATGTAGCTAAAATCAGACATCAAATGCACATTCCTAAAACATTTACCTTGAAATACGGACTTCAAGGTATTTAGCACAACATCCAATTATTGGCAAGCGAATAACAATATTTTTGGGAAAAGCTGGTTCAAAAATCACAGTTGTTTATATTAAAAATTGATTTAAAGAAGTCAAGGAGTGTTTGAAAGAAGAAAAGCATCGATGTCAATGAATTTGACAACCCTGACAAAATTGTAAACTTTGGCGAATCAGGGTTTGAAGTTCAACAAAAATTTAAAGCTCTATGCGCTACTGAGTCAGAAAGCGTGTACAATATTGCAAATAATTGTGAAAAGGAGGCGTATACAGCTCTTTTTGGTTGCACAGCTTTGGGAAAAATGGTTTTACTAATGATTATTTACCCTATACATCGAATTAGGAGAGATATGGCCATGTATAAGTTATCAGAATGGGTTGTAGGAATCTTGGATGAGGGCTGGCAAATCTCTAAAACATTTTATGAGTATTTTTCAAATTACCTAGTCAAATGGCTTGACAAAAACAATGTTACAAGACCCATCATAATTTTTGTTGACGGTCATAAAAGCCATGTAAACATCAAGACTGCCAAATATTGCAAACTAAATGGTTTAATTCTCATCTCTCTCCTACTGAATGCAACCAGAATCCTTTAGCCATTTTGCAATAAATTGCAGTTGCTAGAGTCAGAATTAACCTCACAGCAATTGGAAAGTTTTGAAGAGAACCGCAAGAAAGATTTTTGGTATGGATTTATCACAGATACAGCGCTTTTCAATCTATGGAAGACTTTAAAAGACAAAAGTGAGGACAACTGTATACTCAGCCATTGAAATTAAAAAAAGTTCGTATTAGTAAATAATGTGATGATAAATCAACACGGTGTGCCAAAACAATTTTCACAAAAATATATGGAAACAGCCGAAAAAAATTCAAAACCATTAAGACTTGATCTCAAAAAGAACTTTGTTTAGTCAAGAGAAACCCCAAATGAAAATTCACGAAAATGTAAATCTGAACATGTTCTAATTGTTGCAACAAGGGATAAGTGGTTAAAATTTATAATTGTAGTCACTATTGTTGAAAATATATGTTATTAAACTTTTTTTCAGAAAATATATATGTTATTGAATTTTTGAGAGAGAGAGCATACTTTAGAGAGAGAGCCTCCTTTCAGAAAATATATGTTATTGAACTTATTTAATTGATTTTTGTGAATAGTGAAAATCGAATATTCAGAAAACTTAATGAGCTACTTTTTTATAATATTTCTGCATGATTACATCACTATTACGATTTTCATTTGAGTTGAATGTTGTATGCAGTTACACTACAAGTACAAACAAGTCACACAAAATGTTTTTAACTTCTTGTTGTTTTTATAAATTTTATATAAATTTCTATAAGCAATATATTTATTCCTATTTTCGCTTATTGACATTATATACTGTTACTTTAAAGAACAGTTAAAAAATTGTAGAACAGAATACCAAACAAGCAATATTATGTCAATTAGGTGCATTACATTAAAGTTGATCACTCAAAATATTTAAGATGCTTTTTGAGTTCAAATAGAGGAAAATTTTAATAAATTATTTTATAAATGAATTATGCATAAATTAGTTTATAAATAAAAGCTACAAGTAAAAAAAACGTACAAGATTATATCAGTAAACTAGAATTATTTCTTAATTGTTGTGTAAGTGGCTTAAATGCTTATATGACATTAATGAGTTACCTCTTCACCATCTAGCACAACTCTTTGTTCAGAAACAAATAACTTTGGAGGATTCAAAGATGCTACTGTAAAAATCTTAGATAATTTTGAAAAACTATCAGTTAAATTTGAACTTAAACTGTTTTAAGGTTTCCTTCACTGTTTTAAGGTTACCTTTTTTTCTCAATATTATTAATTTTTTTTTACATTTGATGTAGGGGTATTGTAAATATTTTGTTGCTATGAGCAACTTAGCATTAAAGTTAAAACATGTACTGCAAAAGTAAAAACTAATTTTTCTCATCATTTCTTTTTTCGAAAAATAATAACATTTGTTTTCTGTTCTTTTGTAAACTTTACGTTTAGTAGTTTTCTGTTCTTTCTAATAAAAGTTTGCACCTCACGCAAAGTTATTTCAAAACTTTATTTTTTTAAAAATTGCTTTGAAAATTGCTCCAACCCTAATGTTAATAGAGCAAGTTGTTATAACTTTTATTATTAAGTTTTTGTATTGTTATTATTATTACCATTATTATTATTGTTATTGTTGTTATTATTGCTATTATTATTATTATTATTATTACTATTATTATTATTATTATTATTGTTATTATTATTATTTAGGACTTACTTTAGGACCTTTTATTCATTTTGTGTTGTTGTTAAGTATAAGTAGATATTTAAGTACAATTAATAATTATTAACATTTTCAATTAGTATTTTACAATTTAGTTTTTAATTTTAACAGTTTTTTGATTTTCAAAAGATAAACTATCTTTTGAAAATCTAAAATCATAAAATGTACCATTTTTATGTACCATAATATTTAGCCTGGTAAGGGTGTCATATTCAATATCCTTTAAATTAAAATTTAAAAAAATATGTGTTTATAAACATAAAATAATTAATCAAATTAAAAATTTAATAATTGAAAATATATATTAAATAAAGTTGGTCGCAAATTTTTGTTTTATTAGAGATGCTGCAAAGACATTGCTTAGTCATCCAGACTGGAGGATTGTTTTACAAAACAAGACAATTGATTTAGTGACTATGAAAGTCACCACACCCTTAAGAAAAATGATTAAAAAATTACCAGGTTATAATTAATTTTTAATAAATATAAAGTGTTAAATTTAGAAATAGTTGCCCAACATGTATTTGTTTTTAAAAAATGTGTTTTTTGACAATTTTTTGCTTCTGTAAGTAATTGGTTGTTAGTGCAAAAACCTAATGATTGTGATCTGACTGTGGATCATATCACAATTAGTTATTTATATAAATTATAATTTTTTAATTTTGAAGTTACTATATAAAAATTTAAATAATTTAAATTTATTTAAAATTTGCAATAGAGAATGTAAGAACAAATTTTCTTAAAAATATCTTAATATATAAAAATTACATTTTATAAGCCTTTTGTCCTTGACTCAGCTTTTTAGATTTTGTGTATTTTGAATTTGTTCATTTAAATAGGAAAAGGTTGTTTAAAATTACCTTAAAGATATAAACAAAATTATTTTATTTTTGTTTTCTTTTTTGGTCAAAGTAATGCATGATGATACACTACTACTACAATCTGACTTACATAATAACATCTATAGAAATTTTTACTTCATGATAACATCTATAGAAATTTTTACTTAGATAATAAACATAATAACATCTATAGAAATTTTTACTTACATATTAACATCTATAGAAATTTTTACTTACATAATAACATCTATAGAAATTTTTACTTACATAATAACATCTATAGAAATTTTTACTTACATAATGACATCTATAGAAATTTTTACTTACATAATAACATCTATAGAAATTTACAAATTACAAAACTTATTGTACACAATAAATATAATTACGCAAATCAAGTGGTTTGTTATTTAATGTTAGCAATCAAACATTAAATAACATACTACAATACTTGTAGTGTGTTATTTAATGTTGCCAATCATACAACCTTATGTCAAAAATTTTGTTATGTTTCCTTAAATCAGAAATTATTTTATTGCATTTTAGCAGAAACTGACTTTCTCTTTTATTTATTAACATTTTATTTTTTTATTATACATACAAGTATGTTGTTATCTAATACAACAACAACAACAACAACAGCAACAAGAAGCTACTTATTTTTCGTAAATCATTTTTACAATAGTTTTGATAATAATAAAAATAATAGTAATAACAATAATGATAATAATAATAATAATAATAATAATAATAGTAATAATAAGAATAATAATAATAATATACAATAATAATATAAGATAAAAAAAATTAATACAAGTTATAGTAATATTAATAATAATTATGTTTATAATAATTACAATGAAAAAATAATAATAATAAATATTGGTATAATGGTATTAATAAATGGTAATATAATATTGGCAATAATAATGGTAATATAATAAATGGTAATAATAAATATTGGTATAATTCGTATAATGGTAGTTATAAGCATAAATTAATTATAATAATAAGTTAATAATTTATTAGGATGGTGTTGTCTATACATCATAACATCTGTATATCTATATATACTCCATGCATAATAACATCTATAGAATATTGAAAATTAAATAAATTTTTTTTTACACAAATCAAGTTGTCCATTGTTAAAGGTTATTGATCAAACAATCCCACAATGAAAATTTCTTTCCTTAACTGAAGCTTTTTTATGTCATCTTTAATCAGGGTGTCTGCCAGATCAGGGAAAATAGGAAAAAAGTCAGGAAATTCAGATATCTTCAAAAAAATCAGGGGATTATCAGGGAAATTAGGTTAATTTTTGAAAAAATCAGGAAGGAATCAGTTTTTGCGAGGAAATATTGGGGAAAGTCAGGGAAATCCACTTTAAAATATTGGCAGACACCCTCTTAATGCACTCTCTCCAAGTTTTCTTATTCCTATCTTTACCTTTTTTTTCTGAAATTGTTATTTCTTTACATGCTGATACCCAATCATCTGCATCTTTAAGCTCTACAACCCAAACCATCTCAATCTTCCCCAACACACTCTCGATACACTTATTAATTTTAACCTCTAAGATCATTGCTTTATTTCAGTGTTTTGACTTATTCTTGACTTTACAATGCATACTTTTTGTCTTATTTATGTTTATCCTTAACCCTTTTGCTTCTAATTAATCTAACACAAAATTTTAGTATTAATTCTTTTATCTCTTCAATCAAGCATAAAGAAAATTTTCTAACAGAAAATAGCTCTTATGGTAAATCACCACTTAACTCTTTTGAGAGAGAGCATTCTTTAGAGAGAGGGCCTCTTTTCAGAAAATATATATGTTATTGAACTTGTTTTTAAAATTTTTTAGATATTATTAGTTTTCTTATTTTTTGCAAAATTTATAAAATGAGCAAATATACCAACATTTAAAGATTTAAACTAGCTCTGTGTTAAAAATATTTTTTTATCACAAGTTCAATTATTTTTGTCTTTTGTTTGTCTCTAACAGGGGTGTGAAGTCGTAAAAAAAAAGTACCAACTCCAACTCCAATTGTTGAAATTTTCAGAGTACAACTCTGACTCCAAAGCAAAATTTTTAAAAATTTCTTTTAATTCTTTTAAAAATATTATGTAATAATTTAAATAACTTTTTTTTTTGGCTAAATGTAGGAAAAATTATTTGAAGGTTAAATATTTAGTACATGCACATGTAAAATTGAGAAGGTTTACTATTGGAGTTGCGATTTTGTTTAGTGACTCCGACTCTGCTACAAATGTCGCAACTTTGACTCCACAGCCCTGTTTTTGTGGCTACTAAAGAAAGCAGCCCTGGTCTCTAAATTTTGTGATGCTATTCTTTGCTCAGCAAAGAGTGGCAGTTTGCTTTGAAATAATATTTTTTTGTTTGTTTTAGATTTGGCATTATTTACGTTTGACAAATGTATAACAGATAGCAATCATTTAACTAATGATCCTGAGTATAATATAACTCTTGATTATGAGTTCTTGGATGACACATACTCTCAGTGGCCTTGTGATACAGTACAAAAACATAGTTTGAAAGGATCAACAACAGATGATATATATAGTCCTGAAAACATTCAAAAAAAAATGGAATCTAAAAAGGCGCATTGTCTCAGTTGGATGGTATTTTTTTATTTTATTTTGGTTTTATTTATTTATATTTATTTTATTTAAGTTGGTTTAAAGTATAAAAGATAAAATGAATACAAATTGAAAACTTTTAATGACAACATGGCAACAAGTTAAAAGAAGAAACACAATACAAATTTATAAAATTTATAATTTTTTTCGTTTTACTATTTCAAAAAATTTTATTCCTGGGACTTACTTGAGTTTAAACTCTCTATATAAAAAGCCTAATATAATTAATGTTAATTGGGTTTTAATGTAAAGCTTTATGTTCTGTGAAAAAATTTTAATTTTAGATCAAGTATAAGCAAAAGGAACTAATAGCCCATCCATTGGTCATGAGTCTTATTGCAAAGAAATGGCAGCAATTTGCAATTTTTATTTATTATCTTAAGCTCATGTTGTATGTTATGTTTTTGTTGTCTTTAACAATGTATGTTTTAACTACTGCACCACTTCGTACACCTTACCGTGCTGATGATTGCTTGCTTCAAGTTGATAAAAGTCAATGGGATTTGTTTTTTTTTGTTTACATTGGAAAAGTTGTAGTTGTATTTTTGTCTTTGGCTCATATGTTATTTGAGGTATACAATTTATTTATATTCAGATATATAATAGGGACTTAAGGGAACTTGGTAACAAGGAGTATTTTCATTTGTGATTACCCAGGAAAAAAAGTTATATAAAATTTCTATAAACTTTTGAAACATATATCCTATAAAAAATTCTATTATATTTTATAGTAATTGCTTTCAAGTCTTTTTATATATTTGACTTTTTTTCTATATATATTTATATAGAAAAAAAAATGTTTTCTTTATGGAATTCCTATACACCATATGTTTCAAAAGTTTATAGAAATTTTATTGAACTTTTTTTTATGGGTAGATTAAGAACGAACTTTTATAAATCATGCTCAGGTTTTTTTTCTTTTTACGATTGGTTGCAAAGCGTCACTATTTCTCCATTTTTGAGCTTGAAAACTTTATTTAAAAAATTTAAAGTATAAATAAAAATTTTTTTTTAATACTTATTTCAAAAATCAAAGTTTAAAATAAAATTTTTATTAATAGTAAAAATTATAAAAAAAGCTTAAAAGGTTTTTATTTAAATTTTTATTTAAATTTTTATTTAAAGTTAAGTAAAAGTTATTCAAAGCAACTCTATTTGACTCTCTATTTCTCTCTCTCTCTCTTTCTATATATATATATATATATATATATATATATATATATATATATATATATATATATATATATATATATATATATATATATATATATATATATATATATATATATATATATATATATATATATATATATATATACATATATATATATATATATATATATATATATATTTTATTTATATATTTATATTTATATATATATATATATATATTTATATATATATATATAAATATATATATATATTTATATATATAATAAATGTTTTTTTTATATAAATATATGTAGAAAATATTTTTTTTTTTTTATATACAAGTATATGTCGATATTAATATTTTTTCTATATAAATGTATCTTTGAAAGTATATGTTTTTTCTACATAAATATATGTAGAAAGTGTATATTTTTTCTATATGAATATATATAGCAAATATATGCTGTCTCTTTATGAATATATGTAGAAATTAAGTCAAATAAATAGACTTTTATCGCAATTTCTATAAAAGTTAGTAGAATTTCTATAGAAACTCTATTAAATTTTCTATAGACCATATGTTGCAAAAGTTTATAGAACTTTTCATAAGTAGACAAATGCCTTACTTATCATTGTATTCATAATTTTAAAAGTTTTTTTAATAATTATTCTTTAGATAATTCAATTAATGAATCAAAGGCTTTCCTATTTTGCTTTTGGGAACTTGTTGGAGTGGACTGTGTACATATTAGCTATTGTAAATGTTGCTGATGACTTTTTGCCATTGGTTGTTAACATCCCTGGTTATAATGGAATTATGTAATATAGTTTGTTTTTTATAATAACAATTAATTATTTATGGGATCAATAAACTGTTATTGGTTTTAACAATACTTTTATTGATAAAGCTTTGTTTTATTTTTACTTTAAAATTCTATTACTACTACTATTTCTACTTTATAAAATTTAATTTTGCAACTTCTATGAATTTGTTATTTTTTAGATTTACCTTGTTAAATAATATACATAACTACTTAACTCCTTTTTGACTTTTTTATCCACAAAGTTTAGACTTTATAAAAACATCTATTAACAATGTAATTTAACTTTTTGTTATACAGCTGTTGTTTTATATGCTCTAGTTTGTTTATGATCCCTGTCAGTTTCTAATGATCCTTGTCAGAAAATATCTTATAAGAGTTATTAGTCAGCAAATACCATCTGTGATTTTTGGCAATAATAATGGTAATATAATTGATTTAAAAGAAATGAAACTCTTTACACATGAGTTGTATAAATAAAATAATGATGATTCGCTCCTTTACTTTATATCTTCTTAGACTATCTTTCACTCCTGACCTATCATAGAAACCATATATCTGAGAATATGGATTCCATGATAGAAACCATATATTCATATATCTTCTAAGGTTGTCTCTCTCTATTGTGTATTGTTGTGTAACTGTATAAATTCTTGAGCCTCTTTCACACCATCATATGGTCGCATATGTGACAGAGTCACAGCATCATATGTCTTTCTTTTTTTTTCTACAAAGACTTTTGGTTGCAGCTCAAATGAGCTATCATCACTTGTTTTACTTCCAAAACAGAATCTAATGTCATTCATCATTCAGTAAAGTCATATCTTTTTACTGTTTCTAAATGTTCAAAATTTAACTCCTATTTTAAATAGAGATCTGGGTGCAGATTCACAAAACTTTCATGATTCTTGCATAACTTATGGAAACTGTACGCTCATTTATTTTTTTGTAACTATTTGGTATTCACAAACATTTTACAATGTTTGTGTAAAGTTAAGGCTGCACGAAAGTTATACTAAAGTTATGCAAAAAACCTATTAAGTTTGAGTTAAATTATAAACAAATAAAAACTATTTGTTTACATTTTTACCTAAAATAAAAATGGTAGCAATAAAAATGGTAGTCTAACTGCATTAGTAGAGCAACAATTAAATCTACTTTTTTAATTACTTTAGCAACTTCTTTCTTTTATACACTATACTGTCTCGTTTTCTCAGCAACAGAGTTTCTTTTATGTTGTTGGTCTGAGCAGCTATTAAAAGCATTATTCAAAGGAGTTATAAATTCAGAAATTAATTAATGTATTTGAAAATTTGCTTTAGTTAGAGTTTTTAATGATCTTTAATCTAGTTGAATGAAAACAGCTATAAAAATATTATTTACTACCTGTGTCAAGTTTAACAACTACAATAAATTTAATAACATTTTTTATAAATTTAATAAATTTAGTTAACTATTAAATAACTATAATGAGTAGAGTTAAACTTTTAAAATTTTCAACAAATCTTATTATTGGGTTTTTTTCAGATAGCATTAAAACTTGCATTAAAGAAAAAATAGAAATTTGAAAATTTCACATTTTGACCTGAGTATGGTGTCACAAGCCCTAAAAATGTCAAGAGACTCATTAATAAGTATTGAGATAATGGTAGACCCTATAAAAGCTCAAGCTTTAGTGCTTACTTATATAACAAGGTACTCATTGAAGCAAAATCATAAAGCTAGCTTAAAGCATGAAGAAGTATAGCTGACAACTAATGGATCAAATTTATTCCTTTAGAACCCCATAACTCTGCTCAGGAATAAAATCAGAAAAATATATTACTTCAATGAATTTCTCATAAATATCACTACAACTGTAGTGTTATCACTACAATTTCAAAGCACCATAGCAAGTAGTTCTCAAGTTGTTTATTGCAGCATGCTAAAAAATATCATTCTGAGAAAAAAAAAACAATTTAGGAAATTTAAAATTAAAAGAAATAAGTTAAAGTACAATAACAAATTTTTCTTTCATTACTAAAGGATTGTTTTCACTCCTGTATGGAAGAGCTACAGAGAAGAGCAGTAGACTTATATGTTTTTCAAAAGCTTTGTTTAATTATTTAAGCTCCATGCAGAAATTAATATTCATGTTTTTGCAAAACTGAAAAATTTTAAAATTATAAATATGTAATTTATAAAATGCAAAAATTATGGTAACCAAATTTATCTTTTTCAAATTTCAATGAAAATATCGATTGGAGGTAATGATTAAACTAAAATCACTAAAAACTTCCAGCATCATAAGTTATTCTATTTTTTTTAACCTTTTCATTTTGCTTTGATTTGTTTCCAATGTTGCTTCAATTATCAGTCAATTTTTTTGCAAATTTACTTTTTTAACTATCTTTTTGTTTGAAAATTTTTTTTACAAGGATTTTACCAAGTTTTAAGTAAACATTTACCAAATCTTTTGAACAACATTCCTAAATTATTGCATTTAAAGCATTATTATTGTTTAGAGTATTTTCATGAAGGCTCCTTTATAACCAGTTTTCATCAGATAAATCAATAAATATTGGCTTGATTATGCAACAAATTGACAATTTTTTTTTTTTTAACATCTTTGCTTCCAACAAGGCTGCAAGCAACCACTAATAAGTGTTGGAAGTTACTGGAAGAGAAAAGATAAAGGTTATAGAGCAAGATAACGATTGACAGATGACTTGAAAGATTGCAAATTATATGAATTAGGAAAGCAAGATGAAGGAAGCAAATTCCAAAGAACTGATGTTCGAGGAAAAAAACTAGACAAATAAAAGTTTTTGGAGCACTTAGGAACAGTAACAGAAAAAGGATGAGACTTAATTGAATGATGAGTAACACGAGAATGAATTTTAGTAAATGGCACAAGAGATGTTAGCTCTTTAGAGCAGTGCCCATTATAATATTTGTAGAAAAGAGAAAGAGAAGCAACATTACGACGATGTGACAGAGGTTGAAGTTTGGCTGCAAGACCAGATCCAACTATGTTTACAATGCATTTTTGCACCTTGTCTAAAAGAGAAAGGGCATCATTAGAAGATCCGCCCCAGATATTACAACAGTATTCCATACAAGGTTGGATTTGAGATTTATAGAGATAGAGAATAGAATCCAGAGTAAAAAAGTGTCGAGCTCGATAAAGAGATGCAACTTTAGTAGATGCTAATTTTGCAATGGATTTGATATAAGGTTTCCAAGAAAGATCAGAAGTGAGAGTTAATCCTAGAAGATGAAGGGTAGATGACTCATCGAGTACATTACCATTCATAAATATAGGAAGGTCTGAATTATTGCGATAACGATTGGCTGAAAAAAATTGAGTTTTATCTAAATTAAAGTTCACCAGTCACTGTGAGTCCCATGCTGTAGCAGAAGTGAGATCCTTTTCAAGCTCAAATGCCCCCTCCAAGCAATCAGAGGGAGTTGGCTTCTTATCATGACAAGAATAAATGGCAGTATCATCAGCGAACAATGCCACCTTAGATGTGAGAATATCTGGAAGATCGTTAATGTAAATTGAAAAGAGTATCACAACTTTTAGCAAAAAAAAAAAAATCTGTGTATGTGAGCTGTGCAATTGTTTTAAAGTTACACCAAAGGTAGCTCTACCTAACGCAACTTTTCTTGCTTAAATTGAGCTAAGCATTTTTTAAAGATGTTTAGTGAAAGCCATAATTTAAGAGTTGAACTTACGCAAAATAAAAAATATTCTTACCTCACTAATTTTGTATTTACAAAACTTTTTATGCAAAAAAAGTTTTGTGAATACAAAAGTAGTAAGGTTAGAATTGATACCATACTTATGCTTAAAAAAGTTTTGCACCTTTTTGAAGCCTTGCTGGAAATAAAAAAAATTTTTATATTCATACAAACATGCTTAACAAATTTTTTTATTTTATTTAGATGCGGAACATACCAAAAAGCTGCTGGAGCTTTATGCATTTTTCTTGCCTGGTTTAACTTTATTTTATTCATACAAAAAGTACCAATGTTTGGAATTTATATCGTCATGCTGTTGTTTGTCATAACAACCTTTATGAAGTTTTTTGTTGTTTTTGTCTTTCTAATTATTGCATTTGGTCTTTCATTTTACTTGTTGTTTCATGATTACAATGAGGTAAAATTTTTTAAATAATTTTTGTTTATTTTTTATTAATTTAGTTTTATTTCATAACAATTTTTTAAATGGTTTAGCTTCCAGCTTTTCACCATCCATTTACTGCTTTGGTGAAAACAGGAGTCATGATGACTGGTGAAATTACTTTTGATGATGTTTTTTCAAATAATTTATCCTACCTTGATAAACCTTTTGTAACAGTTACCTGGATAATTTTTTTACTCTTCCTCATAATAATGGTCATTGTGCTTATGAATCTCCTGGTAAGATTTTTTTTGGATTAATTTTTAGAATGTTAAGCCATAGGTATTAAAGTATATCATAATTTTTGTGAAGGTTTTTTTAATTGAATTGTGTAGGTTGGTCTAGCTGTTGATGACATACAAGCTGTGCAGAAAGAAGCAGAATTATCAAAAGCTACAATGCAGGTAAACAAATTGATTAATTTTTTCAGTTCAACAATACTCAAGTTTAGTTTTTCATAATAAAAATAAAAATAAAATAAAACAGCAAATGAAGACTTAATGAAAGGCTTTGACCAAAGTGCTTCCTAGCATTTATTAGTTATGACTTATAAATAGTTTCTTTGCCGACCGATGATGTTGACCGATGATGTTGACCGATGATGTTGACCGATGATGATCTTTGTCAATGACATTTATCTAATTTAATGAAAAAAATGATAATAATCATCAATATACAAAATAATTGTTTTTTGATGGAATATTGTTTAAAGGATTCCATGGGAAGTTATGACATCAATTTTGAAGTTTGGAGCAAAAACCAAAGTGAATCCTTTAAATGTTTAACTTTGCCTAAATAAATTAGAAAAGAAAAAAATTTCCCTTAGAAATCAACAGTAATCAACCATTCCCTTGTCTAATATCTTTTAAAGCATGGCAAACCAATGATAACTATTAACTTAAAACATTAATTTATCTGTTTTTATATTGTACTTTAGTTAGCTCAATTATTTTTGAAAGAAATTTAACCAACTTTGTCATTTTGCATTATAACTTTAATAATTCAAATGAAAAACAAAAATTATGCAAATGATGATGATAAATTTGATTAGAAGGTTGCGAGTTTGAATATGTTGTTTCAATTGTTGTTATCTTACAGCAAAGTTTGAAAAACTGGAGTAGCCTGCAAAAAAATAAAGAAGCATTTTGTAAAAATTTTTTAAAATAATGATCTCTTTATATTTTTCAGTTGTAATTTAAAAATTGTTAATTCTCTGGACTTAACATTAAATCTTAATTACAACTCTTTCCAACCTTACTGCGAGCTAGATAATTCAATCAGTTATATATGTGCTGACTTTAACAACCTTCATACTAAATGTTTCATAAAAAAAAACTTAAAAAATAAGAATAATTATTGAATTAATTTTGTTAAAGCTTAAAGTTAGCCTAAATCTTTTATATGAATAATTAAACTATGTTTTGTACAACTATTTACTTTCAAGAACACTAAGTATTCTGACTTACCTGGAAAGTTCAAAGTAGATAAAAAAAACACAAGAATCGCGTTGTAAAATTCAACACAAAAACAAACAAGAACCAGTGCTTCCAACCAAGTAAACCATTATTTCACTTTCAGGTTAAAGTGTAGCAACCTAAAAAACATTTTTGTTTTTAAAAATATTTATTTTATTAAGCATATATGAACATAAGTTAATGTTAAGAATATCTATAAAAAATTTTATTGGCAAGAATATTAAAACACAAATTATACAAACTTTTTTATAATACTAATATGTTAGTAAATGCCAATAATATTTAATTATTTTACATCTAAAAATTTTGAAATTATTGGCATTAACAGCATCGAAAGGCAGCTGATTCCAAATATTACCAAGTGAGAGAAACTATATTTTTAAATAACTGCTTGACATTGGTTATTTGCACATCTTATATTTATAACTTCATTTGTTTTTATTAACGTCAATAAAAAAGAACTAAGACTAAGCTGTGCAGAATTTTAAAACAAAGTTGATAAGTTTTAATCGCCTTGTTTCAAGCGACTCCAAATCAACTTTTTAAATTGATCTGGTCCTTTAAAGCAATCCACTTTTAAGAATATACCTAAACAAATGATGAATAAAAATGGGTTTTTCTATTTTATATATATTTATGCTTAATACAAAGCTAGTGTCCACCTTTTTTTTTTTTTTTTTTTTGTGTATGTGAAAACATGAACTACTTGTATAAAGTATATCCAAAATATTTAAATACTATATAAATATTAAAAAAAAATTTATTCAGAATATTTATAATATTTCCATCTACAAATAATTGAGTTTCTAACTTTGCTGTAGAAAAACTTATTCTAGTTAACATTTTCTAAAACAGATGTAAGCAAACTAAAATTTTTACATTTTTTTATATTATAAGTTTTTAATAAAATAGTGTACCTTATCTAAACTTCATTTTAGTGGACATTCAACTAAATATAGTTTTCTATTCGTAACTTTTTCTAGCTTAACAGTTAAAAGATTACTTGCAAATTTGAACCTGAATTATTAAGAATTACAGCTTCAAGAATTTTTAAGAGTTTCCAAGAGTTTTTTATGAGCTCCTTCACAAGCTCTTAGAGAGCTTTTTATTGAAAATCCCATTTGTGATAATTTTATGCTACAAAAATTTTTATTGCCTTATTATATTTTCTACAGCAAGTGTGAGATATTTTTTCGTTTATAATTTTAGGTATTATTAAATTAACTTGAAAATTAAATAGATTTAAATATAGTTAAATCAAATAAATTGTCTTCAGTTTTGTTAGCCTCATACCACTGGTAAACCCACATCAAGAACCAATGAAATATCATTAAATGGATCCCCTTGTGTTCATATTAAAGTAAAATGTTTAATAAAAAAGTTTGGACTAAATTTTTTTAATTAAAACTAAATAAAAATGTATATCAATAAAACTAGAATTGTCATTTTATTAAAAGTTTGTCTTTATTTTACTTTGGTTCTCGAAGTCTTTTTAATACATGCCACAATCTACAGATTTGATCATTTATTTCATGTGTGTTTAGTTCATAACAGCTTCAGTATATAAAGTTATTTAGGACTTTTTTTTTAAAAAAAAAGGCTATTGAAGTATTTTTTCTCCCAAAATCAGAAATTTATATCTGTATAATTTTTTTACTTAATAAACAAAAATGTTCGTAATACAATTAAAAATGAAATAATATATTTGGTTTTTAGATTTTATGAGCAAAACTTGTTTTTAACAATTATAAATATAAATATGAGTCAAGATTTAAAAGTTTCAGAAGAAGTCAATTATCAAAAGTTTATTTTTTATTTTATTTTTAAATTGATTAAGGGAAGAAATTTTTTTTTAACTCTTTATCCAATAACATGTTCCATAATTTAGGTCCTCTAATTGAAATCAAGAACTTAGTCGCAGAATAATATGTTTTGGGTTGAATATAATTGCTATTTAAAAATCTTGTTGGTTATTAATGATTTATTTTTTCAAAAAATGAGTTAAATAAAAGGGATGCCATTTTATTATCTACTTTGAACATAAATATATTCATTGATATCTAAATTACGCCAATGTTGCTTGGTGCAGCACTAGTATATTAAAAAATAAAAAGCTTCTAATTAAACAAAAACACGCTGTAAGAAATACACGCACAAATAATAATTTTGTGTTTCACTAAAGCAAATAAAAAAATTTGCAACTTCTCACTTATTACCTTTATGAGCTATTACTTTTAAAGGCTTGTGAACACATGTTAATCCAGATTCATCACAGTTGTAGATGCGATTTGCTTCAAATTGGTTTTCGTTAATAAGTTTTTCCAGATTGTCAAAATATCTTTGAACAGCAGCCTTATTTAAACCAAAAACTTTAAAAGTTAACCTTAAAAGTTAACCTACGTTTACATATTAATGAAATACATATTTTGAAATATAATATTTATATACATATATGCAAGTATACATATTTTGAAATATATTATTATAAATGAAATATAAATATTTTATCACTTTAAAAACTTCAAGTAAATAAAATAAGTAATGCAAGTTTTACAAAATAAATTATGAAATATATATAAATTTTATTTTAAAATTCACTATTTTTAAAGTAAAAAATAATAATTTACTTTACTAAAATTTTTCTTTTTTTCACTAAACAACTTTTTCTTGTAGTTTTCTTTTACTAAACGATGTTTTTTATTAGTTTTAAACAACTGAACTATTAAAGACTTAATTACTTTTTTATTATTTCTTTTACGGTATTATTTGTTTGCATGTGCAACTAATGTTTTCTTAATTTTATGAGCCTATTTAAATATAAGTTATTATTAATTATTTTGACTAATTCACCTAAAAATCTAGAGTAATTTCATTTAATATTTTATGATATAAATTAAATTAATTTTAAACCCTATTTAAATAAGTATTGAAATAATTTTCTTTTATTTAAAAAAAAAAGACTGCCCAAACTTAAACCCTCAGTCGATACTCCATTGCTCTTTGCATGTAATCCATGGTGCTTTCAAAACAGCTATCGAATCAACAACATGGAATATTAAAGAAACTTTAAAAGGGTGTTGGCAAGTTCTTCATGATAGCCCAGCTAGATGTCAAGATTATGAAACAGTCGCAGGTGCAACAAAATACCCTCCTTTTTTTTGCGGAACAAGATGGGTTGAAAGTAAATCTGTTGCAGATCTTTGCATTGAAATCTGGCCTATATATGTAAGTTGATTTAGTTTCGGGAAAAGTTACCATCTTCAAAACAACCTAAATCAAAAAGCTTTTTAAATGTAAAAAAGGCTGTTAAAGACAAATTTATTATTTTAAAATTTGAAGTTTTCAACTTTTTTGCAAGCATATTAGAGCCATATTTGTTGGCATACCAAACTGATAAACCAATGATTCCATTCATGTATAATGACTTAGAAAGGCTGTTGCGAACCATACTGAGCATGTTTGTGAAACAAGATGTTATTGATAATAGTCCAACTTAAAGAAGTTGACTTTCATAAAAAAGATAATCTACTTAAAGGAAATCAAATCAAACTAGGGTTTGCAGCTGAAACAAGACTGGCTGCTTTACGAAAGAAAGATATAATAAATATTGCTGATATTCAAAGTTTTCACAAAGATTGCACTAACATGTATGTTCAATTGATTGAAAAGTTCATGGACCAAACTCTACTAGGATCTATCATTGTACGCAATTCTCAGGTTCTTAACCCAAATGTAATGGTAGCAATGACTCAAGAAGATGCTGAGAAGAAGTATAAATCTTTATTGACCCACTTGATTAGCTTGAAATATGTTTCACCAATCTTTTCTGATAAAGCTATAAATCAATTTGCAGATTTCTTTAGAGAATCAAGGGTTTATCAAGATATCTTTCATGAATTCAATTGAGAAAGAGATAGCTTAGATGACTT